AACAATCATGTTTGGGCCGAAGAAAACCCGCATGCAATTGTGAACTTTAACAATCAAGAACATATTTCAGTGAATGTTTGGGTTGGAATTGTTGAAAATCACTTAATTGGACCTTTTTTTCTGCCACAAAGGCTAGACGGCCGTACATATCGTCGGTTTCTAGAGGAGGATTTGCCCGTATTACTTGAAGAAGTGCCACTTTTAACTAGAAATAGAATGTGGTTCATGTATGATGGTGCACCAGCTCATTTCCATCGAGAAGCAAGAGAATAGCACATTTCATGACCGATAGGTAGGCCGTGGTGGACCCCAACAATGGCCCCCCAGGTTCCCAGATTTGAATAGTGCGGACTTTAATTGTTTAATTTAACCATTTTGAAAACTGTCAGAATATGAACAAAAATATTGGCACTATTATGTTTTTTGACATTACAAAGAAGAATTTTTAACTAATTTTGGCGTTGCTTGTATAGGATGTCAGTTATGCCCTATTCCATCAATAAAATTTTTTTGCCTTTAGAATTACTGACATTGTGTATTGAAAATATGAAAGAATGCCCTTCGTTTCATAAAAAAGTTTGTATATCTCCCTTGATTATTGAGATATTTGCATTTCGTTTTTAAACAAATTTTAATTAAACCAATTTATGGGCATGAAAACCTATAAAACAAATGGGGGCGACGAAATCTTCTAGGTCAACACCAAAAATGTTGATGGAGCTGTACCTATTACCACCTTGCAAAGCAGAACTGCAAAAGCAATTAAAAAGAACATCATATATTGCACATCTTTGGAAGCATACTTCCAACCCGAAGGAATTTTCTACCACTGACTATGGTTGAGAGGAATAAGATAATAAATTTGTTTTTCAATTGTTTGAAGGAGATCAATTGTGGAAACCCATCGATGACAAAGAAATTTATATAAAAATAATTATGTAGTAGTTAATAAATTATTATTTGTATATTTACAAATAAAGAAACAAATATAGAGTAAAACCAATATCAATCAGACGGACAAGACGATGCTGAAATCAATAATTCTGATATTGGGGATTTCAATGTAATATTAAATGAAACAGATGATTCTATTAATTAATGTGATATAGATGAATGGTTTTGATATTATGGGAATTTCATCAATATATTTAAGTTTCAATTTTCATGGTAAAAGATCTAGAATAACTATCCGAGTTTTGTTGTGAAATTTAGGTGGTAAACAATATTTTCTAAGCTGTTTATGTTTCAACTAATACACCTACAATAAGCTTAATGTATGCAACTATAATTTTTTTGGTAATTCTTTGCTGTAATTGTAACCCTCTTTTAACCTTCCGTCGCATCTTGGGGACGCGGTGGCAGTTGTTCATATTACTATTATATGTTACACGGATACAACTCATACAAAAAAAAAATGAAACTTGTAGAAATGGTGTAATGAAATCGGTCGTTAACTTCCGGAATAATACTTCAGTGCACTTAAGACCGAAGATTTTCGTGTTTTACTCTGAAAGTTAAAAAATTCACAAGAGAAAAATGGTTAAAAACAAATTTGTATTTAAAAATGTAAATTATCATAGGCATGTGAATAAAAAAAGTTATGAGACATTGAAAAGGTTGAGGATCCCAAAAAAATAACACATAGGGTGCTATTTCTCTTTCTCACATTGTCGAAAAAAAAAGATAAGAGTGCCCTAGAAATAGATGCAAAATTTTAATAATGCATTAACTTATCAAATATAACAACTTTTGCTTAATATTTTTTTTCAAAACTTCTTAGTTTTTTAGGTACAATTTTTTATATTCAAAACTTCTGCTACCCGCCAATGGAACATAACTCAAAACGTTCAGTTGAGTTAATAAAGGAACACTAAAAGTGGGAACTAATTAGTGCTGGTAATCCAATTGGGTTAGAAAAAACCCAGGAAAAAACTTTTTAGGTAAAAATATATATAAAGATAAAACATTTACATGTATTATTTACGTATTCATGAGGCAGTACTTATTGATCTTATTTTAATAGGTACAAAATATCAAAGGACATATAATTTGGTATTCAACAATAGAAATTAATTTGGGTCATTCCATTTGAAAAAAAAGTTACTCCTCTTTTAAGATTGTCAAATGTAGGTCTTAATATTTCCAGTCCTGAATGACTTAATTTTTTCCAAAAATGTAAAAGATAGAGAAATTTGCGCTGAAACGAATTGTCTAAACCGCATGTTCCTAACTCTTTTAGTTTAGGCGCTACTTAGATTTATTCAGAGAGCTGAAATCGTGATTTTTTCCAAAAATAGTCGAATATATCGGTCAACCTAAAATTAAGCGAGGAATCCTAAAAAGCACATTATAGAAGGTGTTCCATTTAAAATAACGAAGTTATGTATCGTCTAGAAAAAACGGAGCACCCAATATAATTCCAGAGAACTTTCATATAAAACATTTTTTATTTGATTTAAAATGATAGGGTTATGAAGAATCCGACTTAGGTGAAACACCCGGTATGTATCTCAACATTTGCCTTTGTTAGTCTACAATGACTTTTAAAGTCGTTAATATCATATTTTTGTGCAACTGTTTCTACAAAAAATTTATTTTTAATATGATGTTTTTATCTAATCGTAAGTTATGCCTTCCATTTTACTTTTTGAATTACTGCAATTAGTATCACAAGTTCTATTGCAATCATATTTTGATGGAGAGTTCTGTGTTGACTTTCATACAATACGCATGCACGTCTGATATTAGCTCCTTAATATTGCAGTTATTTATGTGTTTTATTTGATTGAAGTTAAACATATTTATTATAACACAAGTAAGTGATATATGTGAATTGTTGAACTCTGTTTTTGACACAGTTCTTTTTTTGCTTGCAATACTGGCAAAACTTTTTTATATAAATCTATTTATCATCGTTTATTTTCTTTTCACATTTAACTGCACACATGTAGAATTTGTAACGTTTCCATTAAAACCAAGGATGAAGTCCAATGCTCAACATGTAGCGAAATAGTTCACAGGGCGTGGATAGTGTCTGGATCGTTGGGCTCTTTGGATCATGCACAGACCAATGTGATAATTTGCCAGCTCTGTTATAATTCATAGAGCAAATAAAACCATTTACTTCTAAGTCTTCTTCCCCTAAAATTACTTCACTTAATATTACTCACTTAATGTGCTTTTTAAGTCTGTGGAAAAATGTAACTCAAATTTTGAAATTCTAAATGCTCAACTGTCTTCTCATACTTTGGAGATTTTGGAACTGAACCTTGAAAATTCATCTCTTCATGACAAAATCGAAACCCTTGAAGGTAGAATAAATGATGTTGGTTTGGAATCCCATTTAGCTGAAGAACGTACTAGACGTGAATATAATCTCATGGTTTTTGGTCTTCCTCTTAATAATGATGTCGAGCAGGATATTGCAGGTGTGAATGATATTCTTAGTCATCTTTGTTCTGATTACCATAATTGGAGGTCAATGTGTTGGAAGCAATCACAATATTTCCAAACCATTTAAAGAACAATTATCAAACAGACAGTGTAATAACTGTTCTCCGCAATAAACATAAAATATCAGCTGAAATTTCTAGAAACACGCAAACAGAACGAACGGTGAATCCAACTTAACTATTAAATATGTTAATAATGTACCTAAGATTGTTACTAGAGGTGTGGAGAACCATAACAGAACCAGAGATGAAGATAATTCTCCTAGACCAGTAAAGGGAATAAAACTGACCAAACTGATATCCTTGGACAATTCATCAAAAATGTCAAAATAGCAACCACTAGATATTATTTTATGGAATGTAGAGGATTTGAAAAATTTGGATAATTTTCTTAGAATAAATAAGGGGTTTGACATTTTGTGTTTGTGTGAAACGTGGCATACTTCCAGTTCATTAAACTTCCCACATTTGGTTTCCTTTTATAATATCTTTCTCTAGTTCTGTAAAAGACAAGAGTCGTGGTAGAGGCAGTAGCAGTCTAACAGTGTTTGTAACAAAAAATGTCAAAGTTGCCCTTGGTTATTGGTAGTGACTCTGAATGAACAATTGTCGCGTTTCTCAGCAGGGCGTTATTCCCTATGAAATGATTGCTGAATTGAACTTGTTTGAGCATAGGCACAGCTGTGATAAGATCATAAATGCTAGAGGCATGTTTGAATTCATGCATAACTCACTTGCTTAATTCTTTCTTTTTTTTATATTATACAATTGTAATATTAGTGTATTTGATTTTTCTTACTCTCCCAAGTTTGTATAGTTATTGTATTATTGTATTATAAGATTTTTGTTTTTCCCACTTGTTACAGAACTCTTCCTGTAAAAAATGTAAAAAATTTTTTTGAAGGAATAAATAAATAATAATAATCATATTTTAATGGGATATTTAAAATTTTAATATCAAATTTCAATTAAAAGGAAATTATTGACAAATGATTAACAACAACCATGTCATAACCTCAACCATAGATGCCATCGAGAGGTAAAGCACAGGAGTAATTTCATGTACATACAAGCTTTGAGTAATACAGAATATTTGAGTATTAAAACAATTATTTACGTCACACATATAACACGTGCATAAATCATTTCTTCCCTCACCCCATTCTCTCTATTTTATGTGAATAATACTTGAGTAATTAATTATGAAAGTACAACTTTTGGCCAGCAAGTTTATTCCTAGGGTGCAATATACTTTTCATAACACTTCTATGGGTCTCTGAGCCTGATGGATATGGTATATAATTGAATGGAAATACATATTCTGTAAAAATGGTTCCAAGAAATTCATAAACTTGCACTATTTATGTAACTCTAGCAGAACTGAATAATACATCGAAAGCTGGAACTAAATTATACAGATCGACTATGTTTCAGCCTTTAGTTGATAATAAAGCAGAAAACCAAGTTAAAATAATTTTCTCTAAACGGTCTTTTTAAAAAGACATTCATATTTTTGAAAATTCTATTGGAAATTATTGTTCAACTTACAGGTAAATCTGTAAAAGCCGTTCCTAGATGGTGTCCATTTTTTGTATAAAAACATGTGTTGTCAATAAGATTTACGCCACAACCAATAACATCTCCAGTTGTAAAAGTAGGTCCATATTTCTGTCCAGTCCCAGATGAACAAAATGAATGTCCGTCATCTCCATGATATCCATATGATTGTTTGTCCCAACCTAGAACAATATGTAGTAAAGTACATTCATGGATATAGTTCAAGACATTTTTATTTTATGGTCATTTTAACAAAAAAATTTTACTACCCCTGATGGGGTACCGCACTCTTGTGAACTATTTTATTGTTGATTTTTTGAGAAAAGTTATTCTTGATAAAAAGTTTTGCTTATCTTGAGAAGCCATGGGCAGTAATCAAATAATATACAATAAGACATACAAGGCTTCCAAAAAATTTCAAAATGTGAAATTTTCGCTAAGCAAAGTGCATTTAATTTTTGTTTTCATTAAAAACTGTATTTAACAAAGTTGTTTGAGTATTGTCAGAAAAGAACAAAAATTACATATTGCAAATAAAAAGACACCACAATTTTTAACTATCTTACATATCATATAATTACTATGGATATTTCCTTATCGATGTCAAAGTCAACATATTTATTTTTATTAAGTGTCCTCCGAATAATTTTTATTAACAATGCTAACCCTGGAGTAACGTTTCATATCCATATGCAATACAAATTTTTAATGAAAAGTGTCCCAATGTAACTGTAACTACTAGAACAGTTCACAAGCTAATTATAAAATTTGATACCTGCTGATGTAAAGAATATTAAAAAGATAAAAAAGGATACAATGATAACGAAGCTGCTACTGTTGTAGTTATGAACTCTAAACAAGACAATCCAAAGATGTCACTCAGAAAAAGGTAAGAAAACATCAAGATCTCATTTTAGTATAAACAAAATCTTTCCATCCAGAGTTTAATCATAAACTGCTTGATGGAGATGGTCGTCGTTTGGATTTTGTTTAACAATGAGGTGATGAATGGCGTGGTTTCCTCCCAAAATTGTAGATACTGGGCTAAAGATAATCCAAATTTTTGATTGATATCAATAGTCAAAAATTTAAAAAAAGTAAATGTCGGGTGTAATGTATAATAAAATAATTGGTTCTTACATTTTAGAAGAAAATCTTAATCAAAATTCGTATTTGGAAATTCTCAATAATTTTCATTTGGCAGAAATAGATAGCAAAAACTAATATTTCAACCCGACTTGTTCCCATTAAATTATTTCTTATGGGGATACCTAAAGCAAAGATTGTATTCAAACCATTTTGGCGATAACATTGATTTACTGAATTACTAATTATATTCAATATTTCAATAATTAATTACATATTAATAGTTAAGTTTAAAGGGGTTTTAGATATAGAAACATACTTTTATAATAATTTTCTTCACTTTAAATAAATTTTGCTTCAAAAGAAAATTTTTAACATACTGCTACCATATGCTTGTGTTGACAATAATTTAATTTCTATAATGGATCATGTGTGTGCTTGTGCCATTATAAACTGTCAAAAACATTTATTCAAATTGCAGTTATAAAATTTAAATTATTTATGTAGGAAGATCCACCACCCGTCCCATGGAGGCCGGTGTCCCCCAGGGCACCGTCCTGTCTCCACACCTATACACCATTTACAACTCCGACATCCCACATCCCCCCAACACCAACATATACTTATACGCCGACGACCTGACAATCACATCCCAATCCGTAGATCCTAGATATTCCGTCTCCCTCCTCCAAAACTCCTTAGACCAACTTGAAACCTGGTGCAACAGGTGGAAAGTCAAAATTAATCCCAACAAAAGTTCGGCTATCCTTTTTACCAAACGAAAAATCCCACAAAACCTCGACAGACTGACACTATCCCAGGAACCTATCTCCTGGAATCGACAAACACGATACCTGGGCGTGACGATGGACCAGCGTCTCACGTGGAAACCGCACATCGTGGAGACGGTGGCGCGAGCGAAGACCACCAGGGCTAGGCTCTATCCCTTACTCAAAGGTGGAAACACCCTCAGTTTAAGGAATAAGCGAACGCTTATCAAGGTGGTACTTCAACCGCAGCTAACCTACGCCTCCACGGCGTGGGGTCACGCGGCAAAAAGCCACTTAAAGTCATTACAGGCTGTGGAAAACATAGCCCTCCGCACGGCCACCGACGCGCCCTGGTACGTAAGAAACACTGACATATTACGAGACTTACAATACACAAACGCTACACAGACAATAAGACAAAACGCGGAGAAACGATTTGACGTAGCCGCTAGACATGACAATCCCCTCCTCAGGCAAGCCGTTGACTACGTACCCGACGTGACCGACAAACACAAAAGACCTAGACACCAACTTTTTGACCCTGGGTGACCACCCCAATGACCCCCCCCCCTGCCCGCTAACCTTTTCTGTTTCAGAGACAGCCAGGATCAAGAAACGAAGACAACGACACACACACACACACATACACACCCCCCATACCCTCCTTACCCCTCCCCTCCCGCGCTAGCCTAAGGGCCACCTTAGCAAAGCGCATCCCAGGCTGCATAGCCGCACTACCCTACCCAACCATACCACACATAAACATGACACTACCCCCGGGGTTTACACAGACGAGCCGGCGAAGCAAGAAGAGCGCCAGAAGAAAGGGCCCTAGCCGGCGGGGCCCAGCCAGGACAAAAGGAGGTCCCACAAAGCGCCTACACCGGCCGCATTTGCGGTCGGGGTAGACGACGGATGGGGCCCACCTACGAAGGCTGTCCAGGCCTACACTAGATGAGGCAGGATAAAGAGGGATAATCCCCCTCGATCCCAAATCATTGAGGCCAATTTCTAGCCATAGAATGGTGGCATGTAGGAAGAGGGTAAGAAGTGATTATTTACTTTACAAATATTTTTTATTGAACTCAAAAGTCATGTGCATTGATAACTGTATTACACCACAATAAAATACCGGAAGACAAAAAAATTATTGTAATTTTATTTTTAATTGAAATTGCAGATTGCCCTTGGACAAATCCAGCTTCTGTAGCCATACTACAGGAAGTACACTTTTTAAAATAATTAACAATATTGTGTTAAGTAAAAGTAAATAATATAACTATCCGGCACATAGATTGCACAATACAAATGAGTGAGACAGACTACAAAACACAAAACTACACAAACTACCAAGATCGAGACTCATTTGGTTTGAAATTTGAACCACACCACAAGCATGCTAATTCACCTACTCCCTATCTCAACCTAACCCCTAGAAACCACCCCTACCAAACCACAAGCAGGCTAACTCACCTAACCCTGGGAAGAGCAAGTTTAGTCACATATTTTTCTTAAAATAATTAAATTCCGCACTACGAGCTACCACAAACCACTACTGGTGGTTTGGTAGGGGTGGTTTCTAAGGGCTACATGGGTTAGCCAGCTTATGGTGTGGAATTTAATTATTTCAAGAAAAATAAGCAATTAAACTCGCTGTTCTCAGGTGGGTTAGCCTGCTTGTAGTTTTGTAGGGGTGGTTTCTAAGCGCTAGGTGGGTTAGGAATTAGGTGGGTTAGTATGCTTGTGGTGTGGAATTTAATTATTTCAAGAAAAATAAGCGACTCAACTCGCTGTTCGCAGGGTTAGATGGGTTAACCTGCTTGTGGTTTAGTAGAGATGATTTCTAGGGATTAGATGGGACAGGCGGTAGGCGGGTTAGCATGCTTGTGATGTGGAATTTAATTATTTCAAGAAAAATAAGTAACTAAACTCGCTGTTTCTAGGGTTATGTGGGTTAGCCTGCTTGTGGTTTGGTAGGTTTCTCAGAACCCATAATATATAAAAAATTCAGCCAATTTAACCGGAAGCCATATCCCATAAGGTTTGGGACGGGCCCTTTGGTACAGTGACATAGATTTTAGTTCTGAACAAAACGAATGAAATTTTTTGATGTTATAAGAAAAATTCAATTTACCAACAAAATAAAATATTTTTTTGTTCCTGACAATGCCTACTTAATTTGAAAGAGTTACAAGTTGCTTTTTTAATTCAACAGAATAATTATTCAAAATTCTAAATTTTACTTGCTGTCATATAATTTTTTTTACAGTACAATAGTTTTTCGGATTGTTATGCTATGGCCCGTGTACTTGGTCGCTGCCAATTTCAAAATTACTTTTTACTTTCTTAGTCTTAGTTATGAAACTTTGATTTGCCCTTGTTGTTTTGGGCTAGATTCTGTGGAAAAGGACCCGCTATTAAAACCCCTAAACCCACCCTGATCTTTTCAGCGCTTATTGAGTCTAAGGCCGCTACGAACGTAATCATTCCTCAGATAATGGTGATCCTCTGAGACATTCCGTAGTGGTCCTTGCAACTGGGCACATCCATTGCTTCCAAAATTTTCGCCGTTCTTCACTATCGGCACCTTCAGTAGTCTTATAGCAGCGCGCCGCGCCATTATTCTATGGCTAGAAATTGGCCTCAATGATTTGGGATCGAGGGGGATTATCCCTCTTTATCCTGCCTCATCTAGTGTAGGCCTGGACAGCCTTCGTAGGTGGGCCCCATCCGTCGTCTACCCCGACCGCAAATGCGGCCGGTGTAGGCGCTTTGTGGGACCTCCTTTTGTCCTGGCTGGGCCCCGCCGGCTAGGGCCCTTTCTTCTGGCGCTCTTCTTGCTTCGCCGGCTCGTCTGTGTAAACCCCGGGGGTAGTGTCATGTTTATGTGTGGTATGGTTGGGTAGGGTAGTGCGGCTATGCAGCCTGGGATGCGCTTTGCTAAGGTGGCCCTTAGGCTAGCGCGGGAGGGGAGGGTTAAGGAGGGTATGGGGGGTGTGTGTGTGTGTGTGTGTGTGTGTCGTTGTCTTCGTTTCTTGATCCTGGCTGTCTCTGAAACAGAAAAGGTTAGCGGGCAGGGGGGGGGTCATTGGGGTGGTCACCCAGGGTCAAAAAGTTGGTGTCTAGGTCTTTTGTGTTTGTCGGTCACGTCGGGTACGTAGTCAACGGCTTGCCTGAGGAGGGGATTGTCATGTCTAGCGGCTACGTCAAATCGTTTCTCCGCGTTTTGTCTTATTGTCTGTGTAGCGTTTGTGTATTGTAAGTCTCGTAATATGTCAGTGTTTCTTACGTACCAGGGCGCGTCGGTGGCCGTGCGGAGGGCTATGTTTTCCACAGCCTGTAATGACTTTAAGTGGCTTTTTGCCGCGTGACCCCACGCCGTGGAGGCGTAGGTTAGCTGCGGTTGAAGTACCACCTTGATAAGCGTTCGCTTATTCCTTAAACTGAGGGTGTTTCCACCTTTGAGTAAGGGATAGAGCCTAGCCCTGGTGGTCTTCGCTCGCGCCACCGTCTCCACGATGTGCGGTTTCCACGTGAGACGCTGGTCCATCGTCACGCCCAGGTATCGTGTTTGTCGATTCCAGGAGATGGGTTCCTGGGATAGTGTCAGTCTGTCAAGGTTTTGTGGGATTTTTCGTTTGGTAAAAAGGATAGCCGAACTTTTGTTGGGATTAATTTTGACTTTCCACCTGTTGCACCAGGTTTCAAGTTGGTCTAAGGAGCTTTGGAGGAGGTAGACGGAATATCTAGGATCTACGGATTGGGATGTGATTGTCAGGTCGTCGGCGTATAAGTATATGTTGGTGTTGGGGGGATGTGGGATGTCGGAGTTGTAAATGGTGTATAGGTGTGGGGACAGGACGGTGCCCTGGGGGACACCGGCCTCCATGGGACGGGTGGTGGAAAGGGAATCTTGGATTTGGATGCGGAATTTTCGGTGGTGTAGGTAGGATTTTATGAGTTTGGTAAAGGATATGGGATATTGGTTGGTGAGCATTTTCATCAGTAGGCCTTCATGCCAAACCGTATCGAAGGCCTTTGCGACGTCCAGGAAGACAGCACCAGTGTACTGTCCCCTGTTGAAGGCCGCCGTGATGTGCTCGGTAAGGCGAAGGATTTGGAGTTCAGTGGAGTGATTGGGTCGGAAGGCGAACTGCTCGTCTGGAATGACTTGCAGTTCTTGGGAGTGGGTTCTTAGACGGGTTAGGATAATTTTTTCTACCACTTTGCTCATAGCCGGGAGCAGGCTAATGGGCCGGTAGTTGGATGGGATGGTGTGATCTTTGTTGGGTTTTGGGATAAGGATTATGTTTGCTGTTTTCCAGCGGGTAGGGAAGTGTCTTAGTCTGAGTGTCGCGTTTGTTATGTTTAGTAGGGCCATGAGGCCCTTGTGTGGTAGTCGTTTAAGTGTCGTGTTATGTATATTGTCGGGTCCGGGGGCTTTTCTGTTTTTAAGTCTGCGTATTGTCAGTCTTAGTTCGTCAGGTGTTGCGGGGGGGATTATGTCATTGTCTGGCTCTCTGTCGACGCGTCGGGCCGCGCGCTCAGCCACTATCTCGAACTCCTCGTCTTCGTTTATAGCAGCGGTGTCGATGCGCATGCATCGTGAAGTACCTACGGAACGGCTGCTTATACAGCTCGCGCCCCGCCGGTATTGATTAGCGTTGTCTATAGCCTAAATGATATGGGACCGAGGGGGACTAACCCTCTTTGCCCTGCCTCATCGCTGTAAGGTGAAGGTGGGCCTTATCCGTCGTCAACCCCAACCATCGGTAGCTGGCCGGGAAGGTGCTTTGGCCATTTTCACACTGACCCACACGACACCGGCAGGACAACGATGTCGGTGGATGCGTAATCTGTGGTTTCACACTCGTCGATATATCGGTATCACGTCGTGACAGGCAACTACGTGTCGGCGAGCAGCAGTCACTCCATTATACTTATACGCCGACGACCTGACAATCACATCCCAATCCGTAGATCCTAGATATTCCGTCTCCCTCCTCCAAAACTCCTTACCAACTTGAAACCTGGTGCAACAGGTGGAAAGTCAAAATTAATCCCAACAAAAGTTCGGCTATCCTTTTTACCAAACGAAAAATCCCACAAAACCTCGACAGACTGACACTATCCCAGGAACCTATCTCCTGGAATCGACAAACACGATACCTGGGCGTGACGATGGACCAGCGTCTCACGTGGAAACCGCACATCGTGGAGACGGTGGCGCGAGCGAAGACCACCAGGGCTAGGCTCTATCCCTTACTCAAAGGTGGAAACACCCTCAGTTTAAGGAATAAGCGAACGCTTATCAAGGTGGTACTTCAACCGCAGCTAACCTACGCCTCCACGGCGTGGGGTCACGCGGCAAAAAGCCACTTAAAGTCATTACAGGCTGTGGAAAACATAGCCCTCCGCACGGCCACCGACGCGCCCTGGTACGTAAGAAACACTGACATATTACGAGACTTACAATACACAAACGCTACACAGACAATAAGACAAAACGCGGAGAAACGATTTGACGTAGCCGCTAGACATGACAATCCCCTCCTCAGGCAAGCCGTTGACTACGTACCCGACGTGACCGACAAACACAAAAGACCTAGACACCAACTTTTTGACCCTGGGTGACCACCCCAATGACCCCCCCCCCTGCCCGCTAACCTTTTCTGTTTCAGAGACAGCCAGGATCAAGAAACGAAGACAACGACACACACACACACACATACACACCCCCCATACCCTCCTTACCCCTCCCCTCCCGCGCTAGCCTAAGGGCCACCTTAGCAAAGCGCATCCCAGGCTGCATAGCCGCACTACCCTACCCAACCATACCACACATAAACATGACACTACCCCCGGGGTTTACACAGACGAGCCGGCGAAGCAAGAAGAGCGCCAGAAGAAAGGGCCCTAGCCGGCGGGGCCCAGCCAGGACAAAAGGAGGTCCCACAAAGCGCCTACACCGGCCGCATTTGCGGTCGGGGTAGACGACGGATGGGGCCCACCTACGAAGGCTGTCCAGGCCTACACGAGATGAGGCAGGATAAAGAGGGATAATCCCCCTCGATCCCAAATCATTGAGGCCAATTTCTAGCCATAGAATAATGGCGCGAGTCACTCCATTTGCGTCGTCGGCGGTTTTTTAAATATTTTTATTTGATTTTTGTCAGTGGTGTGGAATTTTTTGGTTAAAACTAACAAAAATGGCCGGTTTTAAATACGATATAATAACACTAATTCAATTACTGGAATCTAAGCCCTGTATTTGGGATAAAACCAATGAAAATAACAAAAACAAAATTCTGCAGAACAAAAGTTGGCTGGAAATATATCAGTATTTGGAGGGTGGATATGAACAATTATCTGAAGGTGAAAAGAAAAAGACAATATGCAACAACACGGCAACTGCATGTGCCGTGTTGTTGCATATGTTCAAATATTCTGCCGATATCGTGTCGGTATCGGTGCTGTGCTGATGTGCCGGTGTCAGTGTCGGTAAATGTGAAAAGGTCATTTGTTGGGTTTGGAGATAAGTATTACGTTTGCTGTTTTCCAGCATGAAGGAAATGTCTGAGTCTAAGTGTGGCGTTTGTTATGTTGAATAGAGACATGAGACCATGATGATGTGTGATAGTCTTTTTAGTGTAATCTTGTGTATTTGGTTGGGTCCGGCTTTTCTGTTTCTTAAGTGTCGTATTGTTTGTCTGAGTTGGTCTAGGGTTGCTGGCTGGATGATGTCATTGTCTGCCTTTCTGCTGACGCGTCGGCCCGCGCCCCTGGCCGCCACATCGACTTCCTCGTCCTCGTCGGGCAGCTGGGGCAGTCTACACCGCAGTTACAGGCTGTCGGCAAAAGCATCGACCCCCCTACTTACGTGGATTGGGGGAATTATGCGTGGGGCGGGCAGTCGCAGGGCCCTCTGCGTTTTCCAGAGGCTGTTGTCTTGAGGATCCATCGATTCCAAGTGTCTGGCCCAGTTTTCCTGAGCCTGCTCATCCAGGGCTACTTTCACCCGTTTGTTTAGTAGGTTTCAGTCGTGTTTGGTTGAGGGATGTGGGTGTGGCACGCCCCTAGAGTTTTCAGTCGGGGGACTATTGTCTCTGTCGTGGTTTGCAACAGTGTGTTTTTAATGTCTGTCTCTAGTGAAAGGACTGCTGCCTCCAGGTCATGGGTGGTTTCAATGATGGGGAGCGGGGTGCTCCTTTGCATTCTGCTCGGGAACGCCCCCAGTCAGTGAACCTCCTCGTGAAGGCGCCCTCTCATATTTGTATCCACTCCAAATCCAACGTAACTGAATTGTGGGCGATAAACCCTTCGTATTCAATGGATATTTGGGCAATTAGCGGGATGGATTTTAGGATGGCTATCTCTAATACGTTGGGGAGGCTGATGGGTCTGTAGAACATTTCTGTGGGTTCGAGTACTGTTATGTCGTAGTATGCGTTTTGGTTGTTCAGCAGGGTCCACCCTCTTGTGTCGTGGTTCTGCTGTAGGATATGGGGGACTTCGCGTTGAAGTTTCGATGGCAATCGTCTGGGGACAGGATAGAATTTGGTCTAGATCTGTGTCAAGTATTGGGAGTCAGGGGTGAGATAACAGGACACCACCGCAACGTATCCATGCTGTAGCCATCTCACCGCTATCATCACGGTCTCGGTGATTTGAGTTTAGGGCCCCTGCAGCGGATAGTGGTTCTTTACTATGAGTACCCCGGATGGGGTATCTGTCTTGTCAGTAAATGTCATAGTCAGAAATGAAGATTGGGAAGGTCTCGCTGAATTTGGTTTCCTGGATAGCCATCATGTCTACAGTGTGTACAGATTTGATCCGGAACACCAGTGTAGAATTTTACAGGGTGAGGCGATTTTAATATCAATTTTTTTCAGTGTAGGGAGTGCAGTAGGGACGTATGGGATATATTTCTAAGGAGATAATGTTATCTCATGGCATGCTATGATTGTTTTAATGATGTTTTTGGAAAATTGTATTAGGGATTTTGGATGACAGTTTGGAATCATTTAAAGAAATAGTAGGCCATTTAAAGTCCAATACCTGCACACGTTAGAAGCAGGTGATGCAGAGAGGAGGTTGGAGTTCTGTCTCTGGGCACAAGGAAATTATATGCAAGATCCAAATTTTTAATTTAATTAACTGGCCACCAAAAACACCTGATCTTACACCAGCAGATTTTTTTCTATGGGCACATTTGAAAAACATTGTGTATAGGAATCGATCACGTAATCTTCAAGAACTGTGTGCTCGAATTACATAAGCTTGTAATCAGATTAACGAAGAAACGTTATTAAACGTATCTAAACAGAATAAAAAAAGGATTAAAAATGTATAGAACTACAAGGTGGTTTAGTTGAAAAAGGAAATATTTGGATTTTAAATGGTGCTGAATAACGCAGTGTTGTCAAATTTCTAATAAAAAAATCCCTAGTACAATTTTCCAAAAACATCATTATTAAAAAAATCATAGAAAGCCACAAGATAACATTATCTGCTTAGAAATATGTCCCATACGTGTCTATGTATTCCCTACTCTGAAAAAAATTGACATGAAAATCGCCCCACCCTGTAAAATTCTACATTGGTGTTCCGGATCAAATCTGTACACACTGTAGACATGATGGCTATCCAGGAAACCAAACTCAGCGAGAGCTTCCGAATCTTCCTTCGCGACTATGACATTTACTGAAAAGACAGATACCCCATCCGGGGTGGCGTTGCACTCATAGTAAAGAACCACTGGTGGTGTTCCGGATCAAATCTGTATATCTAATTTAGGATGTCCACCTGTTCCAACTTTCTGCCAAGCAACCCGTCAAGGTTCCAGGATGAAATTCTCAGCGAGGAAGGTTTGGTAAGTCGACGAGCAATAGAATTTGAACAATTTTTACATGTTCGACACCATGGTCATCAACTGGACGCATCGTTGCGTCAATTAGGGCCGCTGCGCCTGGTTGAGGGGGGTCATGTTTGTGTTGGGTGAAGTGTTGTGTTGTTTGTTTGTCTGTCGGTGTAGGATGGTCCTGGGGTTGAGTTGGGGTTTTTAGTAATGGTTATTTGTGTGTGTTTTCTGGTGTCGTGTTTTATTTATTTTGGTTACACCATTCCACAGAAACGAAATTCCAATTATGGAATGGGAGTACAAAGAATAATTACAATATAGAGAAATACAGAAAAAAATATTAAACCTATATTATAAGTAAATATAAGAAAAACATGTAACAAATAACATCAGGGTTCCCAGTGCTTTTGAACACTTGAATTCCCTGACTTTCCAGGGTTTTCTATACCTAAAGATGAATGTTTCCCCTGACCTCTGATATGAAATAAGTTCTTCAAAAATAGGTTTCCCTCAAGTTTTTAAAAAAATATTATACACAAAAAATAATTTATAGAACATTTTTATAAGCATGTACTTATTTGTCAAACACAAAAAAAAATATATACAGTGTGGATACAAATTGTGGAATATTGCTTATATTTCTTAAAATATTCGTCATATCAAAAACATGTTTTAATAAAAAACGGGAAATTATTTCCCTTTAGTGATATCAAGCAATCTTTCGTAGCACAAAAAATGTGGTTGCCAAGGTAACCGACTTAATTTTTTTAAACGGCACCATATACTTTTTTTGGTGAAAATTAATACATTGGATCTTCCTAAATACGATACAATACAATTTTAATGGGGTCACATAAGAAAAAAATACAGTAAATTCAATTTTTATAATTTTATTTTATGTCATAAGTAAGGAGTCAAAAAATCAAAAGATCAACGCTTTAAGCTAACTTTAATAGGATAAATGAAAAAATGGAACGGATGTGAACTAATTCATTAAATGTTTAAAATGACATCCATTATTGTTCAGGCACATTCTTAGTCTCTTTAAAAACGAATCACTCAAGTTTGCCAACGTGTGGCGTCGAATTTGCCGTGTAGCTCGATTCTGATCCTCGCTTTAAGATCTTCCAGATCTACTGGTCTTTCTTTGTAGACTATATTTTTAAGTAACCCCACAAAAAATAATCACATCGATTGATATCGGGTGACCTTGCTGGCCATTTAATGGCACCTCCGCGACCTATCCACCTTGCAGGAAACATTTCATTTAGATATTCTCTTACGGCCCTTCCATAATGTGGAGGAATCTTGCTGAAACCACATTTGATGAATTGGACTTAGGGCCTCCAAGGCAGGTACAATTTGTTCTCTCAACAAATTAAGATATTTGTCGGTAGTTAGGTTCCTATCAATACCTGTGCAGACATTAATTTTTTCTGGTCACTAGGTTCGAGTTTCTCCTATTCAGTGAGGATTTTCTTGACACCAATATCGATAATTTTGTTTATTATAAAATCCATGAAGCAATAAAGTGGCTTCATCGGTGAACATAATCTTGTTGCCAAATTCCAAAGCCATGTTAAAGGACCCCGCACAAATCTTATGGAAATTGGGTCC